TGGTGTGTGAGTTTAACATCACTCTTTGGAAGAGTAACTCCACTATAACATGCATTCATACTGCATGTGCTTATCGACCCGTTAGCGAGGTGAAAGAATGGATCCCTGCTTCTTCACCGTGTGAGTCCTAAAAGTCTTTTTTTGACTTTACTTTGTGCCTTTTGTGACCTTTGACTATGTCATAAGATGAGAAGTTGATGTTCACCTACTTTGGTATGTTGCCTGTGGTCATGTATGATTCGGCTTTAAGGGACATTACTGGGAAAGCGGTCAATTTCAAATTGAATGATATGAAGGTGAAGGGAAGATCATCTAGTTCTACATCTCTGCTCTATATTTACTGTCGACAACTCAAATCGCTCTCTATAGGATGCTGATTGGGTGTGAATATAATGCGGGACCTAGGAGAGTCAAACATGCTCTTTGAGGGATTAGAGATGTTTTTGGATTGATGTAGCTAGATGGGTCTGGGTACATGAGACACTATTTCTGTTCTTTTTGGGTTGATGTCTCTATGCTGACTCATGTTGAGTTTCTAGTATAGAGCTCCCACTTGCAGGTGTTCTCAGCGGTCGCACGGTGCATTGGCTAGTATGAGATTGTTCGTTTTTGGGGAGATTGAGATAGAGATGTGGCAGTGTCATGCCAACTCATGTGGGAGTGGGAGATGTTAGTAATGGGCGCCCATGTGGCATGACCATTTAAATTTAACATTTGATCCTTATCCAAATAGGTTTTGATTTTGAATTCAAACCTATTTAGGATAACCACTCAAGATACAGTTGTTATCAGTTTTAACTGATATGGATAGATATTATAATATATTAAATATCTGATATGGTTATGGGTAATCTGAGAAAGAAGGAGAAACAACGTAGTCTGTTTTTCTACCCACATACTGACTCTTCCCCACAAAAACAACGATCAAGTCTTTGACACTGTGGTTGGTGTGGGTGATATTCAATCTGTGATATCACTCCACTGCTGGGCTGGTTCATCAAGAAGTTTCCTAGAAGCACGTGATTTATCCAAGAAGGTTCTGTCATCAAGAAGGTATGATCAAAATTATTTTATCCGCTGCATATTCTGTGTTGTTCTGTTTACAGTAAGGAAATGGGTTTGAATAAGAAAATAAAGCTAGGTTCATGGTTATGGAAATAAACATGGAAATTGATTATTTTTGGTTTGATGTTGAATATCTTGCATGAATTTGGGTCTCATTTCTACATGTATGTAATTTGGAAGAATTAAAGAATAAATATGGAAATAATTGTAGGAATTCTTTAAATTGAGCTTGGATTTGTGAACCTTGATATATATATATGAGATGTATATTTGCATGCATCATGAGTTTTGAAAGGATTTGAGCCATGCAAGTTATTATACATTTGATTTTGAAGAAAAGTTTGAAAACCATGAGTTCATAAGAATATGAGTTTTGATTTTAATTATTAACCCATGCATGTAATGCAATTTAAGAGTTTTATTTAATTTAAACAAATTTTGGAATATATTAAATTAGTTAGTTTTATTTGAATTACATATATTCAATGTTTGCTAGGAAATTGACAAGAAAATGAAGAATTGGAGCTAAGATCAAGTTTATGAATTTAAATTAGAAATTAATTATTTGGGGTTTAATTTGTAAAGTTATTATTAAATTAAGCTCCATAAATTACATGCAACAAAGATTTATTGAAGATTGATCATGGCTCATAATTATTTTCATGTTTTGATGAAATTTTGCATAAGTTTTGGACATAAAATTGGGTTTTAAAAGCTTAATTTATGTTTTAGAATTTATGAGTTTGAAATTGGGTTTGATATGAAGAAAATGAATTAAATCTAAAATTGGACAAATTAAGAAATAAATTATAATTTGAATTTGACAATTTGATCTTAATTTTTATTTAATATATGTAAATATTTTTCTAAGAGCCTTATAGCTTTAATTTCATATTTTGTAAGAAAAATGAAGAAAAGTTTTGAATCATTATATTCATGAAATTATAGCTTTAACCGTATCAAATTAATGAGGTTTTTGCATTAAAATTTAAAAATTAGTTATGTGTTCATATTTATTAATGATATTACATGTTGAAAAATGCATAAATCTAAGTTTTGAATTGAAACTCGGAAGGTAATCTTCAGTTTTGAAACTCAGAAAATTTACAAGCGGCTCGAGCAACCAATTGGTGGCTCGAGCGAACATTTTGAGCTTCCAATATTTTTACAGGCAGTACAGTCCACTCGAGCGACCAAGTGGTGGCTTGAGCGGCAAAGCTATTTTCAGCATATTTTGAAAAATCACACTTTGTTTATATTTTCATCTCATCTCCTCCCAAAGCATTCTAGACATTATTTATGACTCAATGAAGATTAATAAGCTAACAATCAACATAAATTAGTTGATTAAAGAATAAGTTATTAACTTAATAGTAAGTAATTAAGAAGCCAAGTAAGAAATTGGTTTATTCATAAAAGAATAATTTAGTAATGAAATAATATGTGAAATGAGAACCCGATTCATTTGACTAAACAAGAATAAGCGTAGTAGACCTTCGAATTATTTAGACAGAAGACAAGAAAAGTCAAATTTCACCAAGGAAATGGATATTGTGTTTCAATATGTATATGTTATGTGTTTGTGGAGGTCATGTGCTATTGTCTGACTGATTTGTCTAATCTGCTTCTGCAGCTATCTATGAGTAATAACTTAGTAAAGCTATGTTTGTTATGAAATACTTTCTGAACAATATGATATGATATGAACTGTTTTTGATTGATATAAAGGCTATTTTGTGTTTCCATGAATAATGATCCATATTTTTGAAATATATTTGTGGTATCCTTAGCAGAGGCCCTCGCCCGGGGGAAATAATATTATGGCCCAAGCCCTTGCCCGAGAGAAACAATACTGAGGTACAGGCCCTCACCCAAGGGAAACAATATCGTGGCCCACGCATGAGATATGTTACCCGGTACCGGAAGTTTCATTATGAAACTTGATATGCTTGACCAAAGAGATATGTTAATGCTAATGGATGTACCACGTATGATTTGGATATGAATATGAATATGAATCTGTTTTTGAATTTGAATTCTGATTTTTGAATCTGGTATGGACATCATTCATTAAAACCTTTTACTTTGTTATTATTCACTGGGCTCCAACTCACCGTATTACTTATATATGTCAGTGATCAGGCACGTGACCAAGCTTAGAGGCGTCTGCCTGGAATTTGTTTTTGTTAGCCAACCTATGTGCCTCCCTTGGAGGTTCCGGATATGTCAAGTGGTTATGGCTATGTGATTAAAGTTTAAGTTTTATTTTCTTATTTGGTTAAACAAGTCCTTGTTTATTTTGTATATAGAGCTAAATCCTTTTTTGTCTAATTTGCATATATATAATGACGTAATGATGATATGTAAATATGTATATAAAAAGTTTAAAATTTTTCTGTCTCACAAAAGTCTGCACAGCTCAATAGACGTTGTATATTTATTATTTGCTTCTGCTAGCCCCTAATATTATGTTAATCTGTCCCAGAGGCCTTCGGTAATCCTAGGATTACCGGTCGGTTACGATGCTAAACCTATAGGGGGTTTTGGTCGTGACAGAATATTTGTTATTTGATTTTTTTTTTTTTTAAAAAAAAAACCCGAATAAAGGACTGCCTTAATATAGGCAATGGAAAAACCTTTTCGGAAGAGACATGTTCGTTGCAAAATTTGAATATAAAATTCAAATTTTTCCAGCAAAAAATTTAAAATAACTTCAAATAATTTCGGCCCAAAAAAAGAAGTAACGGGCCAACCCAACTCATACTTTGGGTGTCCTTTGGGCTCATGCCCAAGGTTCAATCTACGACCTTATATCTTCTTCAAATTTTTCCTAACTTTCCTATGTGGGACAAGAACACTCAATACTATTTTGAGAATTTTCACCAACATGTCTAATATTTATGAACCTCACTTAAGAGTCAATTTTTCATTTACCTATAAATTGTTTTGACTCACTAATTACATAATCTTGTTCACCACACGGCAGCGAACACATTGCTACTTGGACCCTCCAAAATCGGCTTATGGGTTCTACATAATTATTAGCATAAAGTTTTCGAAAAATTAGCATTTAAACCATTTTTTTCCAACATTAATAAGCCAATAAACAAACATTTTTTTGGTGTACCAATATTAGTTAGGTGGAAGTGCCAGAGGGTGTAATTAGATTTATCTTTATTTTTTTCACTTTTGATAGATATTTGGAACTATATTGCTTTGTCACCAAAAGTAAATTTGTGTTTGAATTTTGAATTTTTGTAATGAAAAAAATTTGTCTAGTTTGGAGTTTTCAAAAGTAATTTGTTGCGTTTTCCATTAGCATTTTATTGTTTTTAGTGATATTTTTTAATATTTAATGATTTGTTTTTCACTTTTTAAATTCATATGATCTAGATATAGTTAAAAAGTACAAAATTCATGGAAAAAAAAATCTTTAAAAAATTCGTTATATACAAAAAATACAAAAAAAAAAAGAAAAAAAAAAGAAAAAGTAAAAGAGTTCATTCCATTTTTGTTTTTTGTTTTTTATTTTTTTGGTATTTATTAAAATATTTTTAAATTTTTTTACAAATATTTTACTCTTTAAGTGCATCTAAATTAAGTAAATTTAAAAAGTAAAAAAAAAATTACCATCAACAAAAAATATATGAATTAAAACCAAACTGATATTTAAAACTCAAAAACAAACTGATATTTTTTAGGGTAAGTAGGAAAATATCTTTTTTTAGGGTAAGTAGGAAAATATCTTTTCCATAAAATAAATATTAAAAACATGCGGGTCTGAGTTTGAATAACTTCAAAAAAGAGGGACTTGAGTTTAAAAATAATTCACAATATTCCACCTGTCTGACATGAGACAGGAACACACCATTCTGATTGTGTGCCTATATGATCACAATGTTCACGTTCTGAGCTGAGTGAGAGTGAGAGTGAGAGTGAGAATGGCGTCGAAGAAGAAGGGTAAAGAAGTCGCCGGAGAGGACTCGTCGTTGTCGGGGAAGAGAAAGCGCAGCGACACTGCCAAGACCGGCCCTCGGCAGAAGAGGAAGAACCCCGCCGTTCTTCAGTTCTTCGAGGATGCTGCGTTAGAGGTTGACGATGATGACGACGACGACAGCGGTTTTGGCGATGGTAAAGGGAAAAAAACACATTTTTCCTCATTTTTGGTCTATTTTTTAGGTGAACTCATGCACCAAAGTTGATGGGTCTAAGTGGTATATAGCTTTTTCATTTGTTTCTATGGTTTTGATGTTTGTTGTTTGTGCTGTTTTGCTTCAATTTTGACGGATTGTTGAATGGGGTTTGTTGAAATGAGGGATTTGAGGGAAATGATGTTGGAATTCTAATAAAAATAAAATTAATTATTTTTATTTAATTTGTTTGACCATTATGAACATTAATATTTATTTTAAATATTTTGATTACAAAGATATTATTAAGTTTTATTATTATAATTATGTAATGATTAAATTTTATGAGATTTTCACTTATATATATATATATATATATTCATGTGTTTTCTAAAGATGGATAATGGACAAAAATCGGAAGAAGACATATGTATATGTGATATTGAGTTTTAACATAAAAGTACTTTATCTATTTTATGTATTTCTGGGCAACTATGGTTCGTGACTCGTTCATATCCTCGTGGTGGACATGAACATCGGATGAGGAAGGTTGTGAGCGCTTGGTTTGTGTCTTGGAGCCTTTGCACTCCAGTTGTACCTTCACATGAGGAGGAACAACAGCTTTAGGGCAATGACTACACACCTCTCAATCTCACAGGCCAATTCTTTCTTACTCTTTGTGAATTTACTTGCTTTCATATTTTATTTATCGTAAATCTCTTAATCATTTTATTAATTAAATTATATTAGTGCATAGCTTTTTTCTAACAATCTAAAACCGTTGAGTTTTTTTTTTAAAGAAAAATATCTATTTCAAATGTCAAGGAAAACAAATGTTTGGTACATGTTGAATTTAAAGTCGTCCCTTACTCTTCATATGTGAAATTAGTTGGTATCTTTGTCTAGTTTGTTTGTTTTCATCCATGTGAAAGTTATTGAATTATCAAAACGAGCCTAGAATCTCACAACTATATATCTCTACTTTTGTTGTTGTAAATTATTTATTACTAGATATGTAGCTTGAAATTGGTTTGTTAAGTAATTCCTTTTAAATTATTTGGTTCGTGAGGTCAAGGAAAACAAATGTTTGGTACATGTTGAATTTAAAGTCTTCCCTTACGCTTCATATGTGAATTTAGTTGGTATCTTTGTCTAATTTGTTTGTTTTCATCCATGTGAAAGTTATTGAATTATCAAAACGAGTTTAGAATCTCACAACTATATATCTCTACTTTTGTTGTTGTAAATTATTTATTACTAGATATGTAGCTTGAAATTGGTTTGTTAAGTAATTCCTTTTAAATTATTTGGTTCGTGAGTTTATGTAATTCTGAGCCTTCCTCTAATTTGTAGAAGATTAATACTTATCTCTTGGCAACAGAAAGTTATTATAATTATTTATATATATATATATATATAAGGGAAAAGTAGTTTTGTGTTTAACTTGTGAAACATTTTAGAGAATGATTAATATAAATTTCATAGCATATTTGAAATTTTTATTTTATATTCAATTGGTAGCTTTTAATCATTGGTGGTTAATATTGAGGATATTGTATTGCAATGTTAATGTTAAATAATAGCAATAGTCAAGGATTATAAATTAAAATAACTTGAAATGGAATATAATTGTTATCAAATAACATTTCGAATTTGTTGCTAAGTAGTACGTGAAATAGTTGCATATTTAATTTATTGCTCAATCTTTGATTTACCGTTATTATATGTAAGTGATAGCATGTGACTGTTGAATATTAGTATTTGGATCTTAATAAATGTGTTATAAATTTTGAGAATAAATGTGTTATAAATTTTGTAACCGTTAAAAACTTAAAAGTGTATTGTGATTTTTGAGACATGATAGAATGTATGCAACTCTGTGTGTGATAATAGGTTTGACATGAGTAGATAAATAATAAAAGTTTGATAACATTAGATTACTTGTTCTGTTTGCGATTTGTAGTTGGTTCATAATTGACAAGATTAAGATTTGAATTATTTTGTAACTGCTACAAATTTAAAGTGTGTCATGAATTTTACAATTAGTGAATTAAATGCCATTGGCCTTGTTAATGTTGTGGTTACAAATATTTTGAGGGTTTACTATATCCTGTAAATTATATTGTGTATGATTGGAAATATATGTGATTTCTTTTATTTTAAAAAACAAAACAAATTATGTGCAAGCAATGATGTTTGTAAGTATGATTAGTCTTATTTGATTTTGTTTAATCATTTTGGTCATATCACAGCCATACATATATTTATGACTTATTTAGTTCTACTTTATTACGTAATCAATTATTGTACATATAAGATTGGATGCTATTTTGCCATAGGTTTTGCTATTTATAAAATATAAATTAGATTACAATGGGTAAATGCCATAATATTTATTTCATAGTTTAATTTAGAATTCACCATAAATGTCATTTAATATATAATGGGAGACTTGAATTGTAAATTGATTAGCCCCATAGCTTTTGTAAAGAGTTACAAAGAATTTATATATATTAAAACAATTAATTGGTTATGAAATATATCATTTGAATATTGATGATTTTGGGAATTTTTAAAGTTTGAAAATGTGAGATAAATTCAATTGTGTTATTTGAGCAAGTTACATAATTATAATTGCTGGTAGAGTCATTGTCTTCTTCGCTTTAAATTATTTTTTAAAAGTTTAAAAATAAAAAAAAAATTAAAAGAGAGAGAGAGAGAGAGAGAGAGATTGGAATGTGGTGAATGAAATTATTTGTATGTTTACAAATTCTTAGTTTAAGATTGGTTTATTCTAGGTACTAGCATAATGTTAATCTTGCATCATTATTTAGTATAATTAATTGTTGGTTTCAAAAAGGAAAAAGAGTTGTTGTGATGTAAATTAATAATTTTATTTTGTTAAAAATAATGAGGATTGCAATGTGGGGGGAAATTATTTTGAATAGTTAGTTTGGAGCTTGATCAATGTTTGTAGGTTTCACTCTGAAATCATTCTTATTAGCTGTGTGCTAAATTGAATTTATAAGTTACAAATATTTGAGGGTTTTTATATTCCATAAAATTACATGACTTAACATAATGCGTGAATGTGTATTCATGGGTTTTAATTCTTTATAATAGTTAGCAGTTTAATATACATATTGCTCAAATTAGTTGCCTCAACCCTTACTGGTGGAAAATATTTTGGATTGGAATGTAGTGGTAAAAATTATTTTGTTCAATATTCATATGAAACAATTTCGTTTGATTATGTCTAATTGTGTTACATGTAACTTTCGTGGTGTTAACAAAGTTAGTTCTGTGTGTGGGAAGTGGTTTTGAATTATTACACCATTAATCTTGCTTTTGTAATTTTTAGTTAAAGTTTATTTAAAATGAAAGTGTGCCCACTTTTGTGTGCTCATAAAAGGGTTTTCATGATGTGTTTGCAAGAATCTTATATATTAGATTGGATGTTCTTGATCAATATTCTTTTAGATTTTTGTTTTATTTATTTGTATTGTATGATTAATTTATGACTGATTAATGAATTGTTGTCAAATAATTAAATGAAGAATTATAAATGCTCTGTAACTTACGGTCATTGAGTGGGGCTTGCATCTCATTGGTTGTTCACAGATTATTAGTTACAGAAAATGTTCAATATATATTTCATGCTTACCATTTAGCCTTGTAGTAAAAATTGTTAAAGTTGAGATTTTGTTAAAATTCTTTTAAGTCTTTGGGAAGATTGCTAACGTGGTATAGTTGACTATTGCTTACTTTGTGAAAATTTTACTTTTTCAAATGTTTAAAAATAATTCAAACTAAATGTTTAAAATTGGTTAAAAAAATGTGAATATATGAGAGTTCTGTGCAATTATTGTCATACTTTAGTTGTTCTTATTTTATGATACTGTCTTCAAATGTTAAAAGATAAATATATTTGAAAATCTGAATTAATTTGAGGTTTTAAAAAATTTCTATTAAGGAAATGGTGTGGAGAATTTTAAAGGTATGAAATATTCTGAAATTAGTTTGCTTATATAATTGAAGTTTTTTTCAAATTTTCTATTTAAACTCAAAATGAAAAGGAAAATGAGGTGGCTATAGCTAAAAGCACTATAATATTCTTGTTGTGTGAAACGAAAAAAAAAATGAAATGAGAAGTGTTGTGAGGTTACACTAATATCTGTGTCTTGAAGAATTCTTATATGTATATTATGTAAAAATGGGGTGGAAATTTGAATTTTTTTATTTTGGTTAAAACAAATTTGAATGTTTGTTTTGGCTGAATTGTATCTGATAATTGTGAGAAGTTGTGTCTATTTAATTCAGTGTAATTTGAAAATAAATTCTTTATTCATAGGTCATGAATTAGAAGAGAAATTCGTAATACTTAATAAGGTTTTGATTTGATAATTGAATGGCTTATATATATTGTCAATGTGTTGTATATGAGTATAATTGATATTTGAGAGGCTATGTTAACATTGTTTATTGGAGAATTGTGTTTGAAAATTTTATAGGTGTATAAAGATAAGTAGATGAATGTTGTAATGGAAAAGCCCTAATGATTGTAAACTCCATGAGATGAAGAAATACATTGTTGATCAACAGTTAGGCTTGAGAAGCCAGAAGAGGAATTTTGCCTCTGGACTAGCACTGAGGCTAGATCTATTATTTGTCGAGGGGGGTGAGTGTAAGCCCATTAGGAAGTCACCTAGGGAGGTAACCCATCTTCTGTGATTGGAGATCCCATGAAGTTCAATGGGTAAAAACAATCCATATAGTGTGACTTGATTCCAACATTCATTTTTTAGGAGACACCATATCAAGGTTGATCTCATGCTCATCCCTAAGGCAGTAGTGCTAAAGAAGTAACTGGTTAGGAAGGGTTTTACCCTGAATGAATCCAAGGTAGGCAATCTCCTACAAGGTGCATTCTGTCACTGTACCTTTGAAGGGTTCTACTTAGTGGGGTGGGAGTTGTCATGAGGCCGCGAC